CCCTTTTTAAAAAGACGTCCACTTCTCTTTGTGGTAAAGTTTAGCAGGGTGTGGACACATGCTACAAAAAACTGCTTACTTAGTTGTCACTATGTCTTCAGCGTGATTAGCAGTTTTGAGTTGGCAGTTTTATATGAGGGACCAAACATGACACAAGTTGATATAAATAAACAAATGCTGGACTGAAATAAATATATGTTCATTAATGTATTTATTTGAACATGTATTCATCACTATGTTATTTGGTTCTACTTACATAGGGTTGTTGTCCCTGATAGTTTTGTAGCCTTAGAAAAAAAGGTTTCTCCCCGTCGGGGAATCGAACCCCGGTCTTCCGCGTGACAGGCGGAGATACTGTCCACTATACTAACGAGGACTGGTGCATTGTGGGATATGTAATATGACCAGGATCCTGGCTCTATTCCAGTCTTTAATGTGTTTACAGCTCTGTCTAACCTGTAAAGACATAAACTGCAAAGAATGATCTACAGTAGCTGAATAAAGCTGCTCACAGAGCACTTACGTAATGTGTAAGGTCAGAATGTCACGCCCAGCAGTTTCCGTAGTGTAGTGGTTATCACGTTCGCCTAACACGCGAAAGGTCCCCGGTTCGAGACCGGGCGGAAACAACTTTCTTTTTTTTCTTTTCTTTTTCCTTTACTTTTCTTTCTTCTTCTGTGTAGACAGTCGTCTCTCAGCTGGAAGGTCGGGGGTTCAATCTTCAGCACCTGCTGTCACATGTCCGTTGTGTCCTTTGGCAACACACTTAACCCCAAATGACTCTCGCTGCTTCAGATTTAGACGACTTTATTAATCCCAGAAGGGCAAGTCAGTCTCCCTTCTGGGATTAATAAAGTTGTCTTAAAGAGGTCATATTCTGCCCTTTTTGGGATTCGTATATTTAATCTATGTACCTACTAAAGTATGTTCACAATAGCTAAAGTTAAACACACTTGATCATTTCTGTCTTCTTGTTTGGGAGGTCAAGCTTTTAGACAGTCTCTACTCCATCCTCCAAAACTGCACCACTGAATAAAAACAGATACGTGTTTCTTTCCTAAACTTTGGTGGTGGGCTGCCCATGGGGTGCACAAACTAACCTCTAGGTCATCGGCTCCCTGCCTTGACTTCAATGTTGCCTTCAACCTACACTAGCCTCTAAGCTAGTATGAAGTTATTTGTGTTTTTGAGGGGTTTGTTCAAGCTGTTGCCAACGGTTTAAGACCTTTGGAGAATGATTTTGAGAACAATACATCAAATGAATACCTTCAGTTTTGTCTGAAGCTTAATGAATGAGTTCAACTGTTTGCTGCTGTTTCAGTGAAAATCAAGACTTAAACAAACAGCTCAGATGCACACATAACACTTACGTAATGTGTGAGGTCACGGAGAGGTGGCCAGCAGTTTCCGTAGTGTAGTGGTTATCACGTTCGCCTAACACGCGAAAGGTCCCCGGTTCGAGACCGGGCGGAAACACTTTTTTTTTATTTTCTTTTTCTTCTGTTTAGACGGTCGTCTCTCAGCTGGAAGGTCGGGGGTTCGATCCCCAGCACCTGCTGTCACATGTCCGATGTGTCCAACACACTTAACCTCAAATGACTCTCGCTGCTTCAGATTTAGACGACTTTATTAATCCCAGAAGGGCAAGTCAGTCTCCCTTCTGGGATTAATAAAGTTGTCTTAAAGAGGTCATATTCTGCCCTTTTTGGGGTTCGTATATTTAATCTATGTACCTACTAAAGTATGTTCACAATAGCTAAAGTTATAAAAAAGTGTCTGTTTTCATGTACTCTCGCTCCATGCACCGGCTCGCTTCTGACTCTCTCTCTAAGGCTCTGAAGCGCCCACGTTCAGAGTCCCCACGTGTGCCAAGTCTAATCTGATTGGTCCGCCTGTCGGCTCTGCCGTAATTGGTCAGTCGCTCAGGACGGTTCTTGGAAATGTCACGCCCCTTTTACCATATTGGGAATGCAGCCACTTTGCTCCGCGAGGGGAGCAAAAACATTAGCACCTTAGCACTACTGTGCTACCGCAGGCTACGGCATATCGTGGGCGTGCTACAGAAGTTAACGGGCGTGCAACATGAGCTGCCACAACGAGCCAATGGGCTTAGATCAGTGATATCACACTGACAAATCGTCACACTGGCAATTTTTTTTCGAGGGGGGCTAGAACCGAGCGTTACATGCAGCTAATGCTGCAGCTAACAGGAGGACGTAGGAGAAGCCGCCTTTCCGCAGACTTTGAATTTTTGCACATAGATGTGCCTAAACATGCACAGGACACTTGGAAAACACACTAAAGAGCATATAAAACCAGAAAAAGCATAATATGGTACCTTTAAACAAACAGTTCAGATGCTCACAGAGCACTTACGTGATGTGTGAGGTTAGAGTGAGCTGGCCAGCAGTTTCCGTAGTGTAGTGGTTATCACGTTCGCCTAACACGCGAAAGGTCCCCGGTTCGAGACCGGGCGGAAACAGTCTTTTCTTTTCTTTTCTTTTCTTTCTTCGACACTTAACCTCATGTTGCTCCCGCTGCTTCAGATTCAGACGACTTTATTAATCCCAGACAGGCAATTCAGTCTCCCCTCTGGTTTAACAAAGTTGTCTGAATCAGAGGCGTATTAATGTGTTTGAATGGGATCAGTTACTTCTGATGGTCACTTTACAGAGCAGCCTCTGACATCACTGTGTGAATGAGGAGTTGTGACCTGCGGTGTAAAAGTATTTTGAGTTGTCAGCAGACTAGAAAAGCTAAGTCCATATACATACATATCGTCAAATGCCGCTGATCAAATGTCTTACATTACAGCACAATGGCCTGCTTGTCCTGTGGTTATCCTTGTTTGCCTAACACGCTAATGGGCTCAAGACCAGGTGGAAAAACTTGTATTTTTCTTCTTCATGCTTCGTCCTAAACTTTGTTGTAATAATGTTTTCCATCCTTGATTATTAAACAGCGGATCATAAACAATCAGGAATCAATCTGTCCTCATTTTTCTGAAGTTTTTGTTGAAGTCTCTTTTTTTTAAGCTGCAGTTGTTTAGGAAAAACTGGAGAACCACCAGAATGAAATCAGCCTTTATCTACAAATCCTGGATTTATGACCAAAGAGCGTTTAGAACTAAACAGCAGCTGTGAATGAGTTCAACTGTTTGCTGCTGTTTCAGTGAAAATCAAGACTTAAACAAACAGCTCAGATGCACACATAACACTTGCGTAATCTGTGAGGTCACAGAGTGATGGCCAGCAGTTTCCGTAGTGTAGTGGTTATCACGTTCGCCTAACACGCGAAAGGTCCCCGGTTCGAGACCGGGCGGAAACACTTTAATTTTTCTTTTCTTTTCTTTTTTCTTCTGTTTAGATGGTCGTCTCTCAGCTGGAAGGTCGGGGGTTCGATCCCCAGCACCTGCTGTCACATGTCCGATGTGTCCAACACACTTAACCTCAAATGACTCCCGCTGCTTCAGATTTAGACGACTTTATTAATCCCAGAAGGGCAAGTCAGTCTCCCTTCTGGGATTAATAAAGTTGTCTTAAAGAGGTCATATTCTGCCCTTTTTGGGGTTCGTATATTTAATCTATGTACCTACTAAAGTATGTTCACAATAGCTAAAGTTATAAAAAAGTGTCTGTTTTCATGTACTCTCGCTCCATGCACCGGCTCGCTTCTGACTCTTTCTCTAAGGCTCTGAAGCGCCCACGTTCAAAGTCCCCACGTGTGCCAAGTCTAATCTGATTGGTCCGCCTGTTGGCTCTGCCGTAATTGGTCAGTCGCTCAGGACGGTTCTCGGAAATGTCATGCCCCTTTTACCATATTGGGAATGCAGCCACTTTGGCTCCGCGAGGGAGCAAAAACATTAGCACCTTAGCACTACTGTGCTACCGCAGGCTACGGCATATCGTGGGCGTGCCACAGAAGTTAACGGGCGTGCAACATGAGCTGCCACAACGAGCCAATGGGCTTAGATCAGTGATATCACACTGACAAATCGTCACACTGGCAATTTTTTTCAAGGGGGGCTAGAACGAGCGTTATATGCAGCTAATTTCCGCGGACTTTGAATTTTTGCACATAGATGTGACTAAACATGCATAGGACACATGGAAAACACACTAAAGAGCATATAAAACCAGAAAAAGCATAATATGGGACCTTTAAACAAACAGTTCAGGTGCTCACAGAGCACTTAGGTGATGTGTGAGGTCACAAAGTGATGGCCAGCAGTTTCCGTAGTGTAGTGGTTATCACGTTCGCCTAACACGCGAAAGGTCCCCGGTTCGAGACCGGGCGGAAACAGTCTTTTTTTTTTTTCTTTTCTTTTCTTTCTTTTCTTTCTTCTTCTGTGTAGACAGTCATCTCTCAGTTGGAAGGTCAGGGTTCGATCCCCAGCTCCTGCAGTCACATGTCCGATCTATCCTTGGGCAACACACTTTATAATTTCTGCCTTTTTGTTTGGGAGCTCTTAGACGGGCTCTACTCCATCCTCCAAACTGCACTAGATGGTGTAACCATAAATAAGATTAAATTTTTGAGTTCAAGAAATTTCTCCTCACATGGGATTAGTATTATTGAAAGATTTTGGAGCCGAGTGAAATCCAGAAGGTGTTTCAGGTTTATTTCCCTACAGGCTTAAACTGCCAACCTGGCAGAGAGCAGCGAGTGTAAGAACGCTTCAGCAAAAACTAATCGTTTCAATTAGACGACTCCTTCAAGGAAAACTCTGCCCAACAGTGCAGTGATTATAACATTACTTATTATAGGTATAAATCCTTGTTCATTGAGCTGTAATGGATTTACACTTTTCAATTTGAGGTTAAGCCAAAGCCTGTTTCCCCCCTCTGTATAAAGCCTCCTCTTCATTATTTACCTCTCTCCCCGCGTTAGTCGCATTAATCCAAATGTTTGTGCAACAAAGAAAGACAGACATTGTTTTTCCTCCTCGTTGCTAAATCTTTTCTCGACTCTTTTGCCCCTCCTCTCTTGTGTCTCTGTAGGTCGGTTTCTTAAAGACGCAGCACCGGTATGAAATAGTGTTCACCTTGCCTGAAGTCCCAGCTCTGGGGAAGGATGTGTGTCCAGCACCGGTGCCCAGTCCACATCTCCGGATCACTGATATCACACCCGCACCAGAGGGTAAGATCAGTTTGAAAAAAATAATCTGCTTAAAGGCTTTATATGTGATTTTTCACACTTAAATAAAATAGAAATCAAATATCTCCTCTGAAAATAACTCTGTGAGTCATGACTGTCTACAATGGGTGTAACACCCGAGTCCCACTGTCTTTGATGCTTTCTGAGTTTTCAGAGTCCTATCTTCAGTTTGTTTACATCGCCGGGACGGCCGGCTGACTCCTCCCCTTGTGTATAAAAGTTGTTTAATTGAGGGACTAGAGAAAAGAAGAATAACATACTGTACTCACTGCTTAACTGTGTTTCTAGATCACGCTCATTTCAGGTAAATTTACATGCAGTGTGAAGATACGAGCATAATAAAGATCGCTAGCATTAGCATGCTAACACAACAATGCAGAGCGAGTTGTTTTGGTTTCATGCTGGTGCTCAAGGGCGACATCTGCTGGATCAAAAAAATTGCATATAAAGCCTTTAAGGGCTGTGTCGTGAAAGCCAATTAGCATTTAGATTTCCAGACTCCCTGGAATGCATCCGAAATGATGGATCCCATCTCCATTCAACAAATGTGCATTTTAAAGTTGTTCTCCTCTTCCCTAAAGGACAGCCCGAACAAAACAATATTTTTACAAATCTGCGTCATGACGATGGTTCTTCAGCAAACTTAAAGCTCCTGTGAGAGCTCCCCTCCCCCCCGTGGATAAGGAGGCACATATTTTGTCCTTGCTGTTGAACACTAGCCCTCGGCTGGACCAGAAGTACCCAAAAGTTTTCCCAGGCACATCTGTTGCTGTCAAACCAACACCTGGCACCCCCCAACACTTTTTTTTAGAAATGTAACTTCAAAGTGTGTGAGTCTGTCCTGGATTCATCCCTAAACCTGATCACTCAGGTCAAAAGGTGGTCCTCTAATGTTTCTGGGAGTCGTTCCAGCTACGAGCCTGTAACTCCAGCATGTTACTGACCTCTCTGTAACCCTCACATTAGGCCCAGTTGGCCCGTTACCGCCCCCCCCCTCCTCCTCCTCCTTCCTTCACCGTTGGTCTGCACTCACATTAATCCGGTCCCAACTACGCCACATGCATGGCTTTACAGCATCATGAAGTGTCCTTTAGTTTACAAGAGGTCAAGAGACAAACAAACAGGACTTTGGGGGTCAAACATGCTTGGGAAAAAGATTGCTCAGGATGTGTGTGTGTGTGTGTGTGTGTGTGTGTGTGTGTGTGTGTGTGTGTGTGTGTGTGTGTGTGTGTGTGTGTGTGTGTGTGTGTGTGTGTGTGTGTGTGTGTGTGTGTGTGTGTGTGTGTATTAAAACCCACCAATAAAGAGGATATGTAATCTCTTCTCTGTTATTTGTGTTTCTCAGGAGGTCTGAAGGTGACGTGCGAGTACATGGCCCAGCACGAGGGCGTTCTGTGCGAGGAGGTGCTGCTGCTGAGCGAGACCAACGAGGACGTCTGTGTTAAGGTCAAAGTTCACGCCAGAGTCATGGGTGAGGTTACTTCACAAATATGAGTGATGCGAATGTCATTGTTCTGTGCGTGAATGTACAGTTTACATTGAAAGACATAGTGGTCGTGTGGAGGACATTGTGTCAGTTTGGGTTTTAAAAAACATAGGAAACATTTTTTTGAAAGGATGCAACAACAACAAAAAGTTTACTCTGAGAAGATGAAATGAAAGTGTATTGATTAATATTCAATCGAAGCAGACTGAGGGAATAAATGATGAAAGTGTGCGACTCAACTCAGAGCTGTAGTGTGTAGCTGATCTCCCTTTAGCACATCTTCATCATCTGATGTTCCTTCAGCGCCGACGCCATCGTTTCAACTCCTGTTGTTTCAAACTTGAACACACCTCAGAAAAAAACACACAAAACATTTCTCCTTAAACAATCATACACTTCCTGTCCTGCTTCACCAAGATTCAAGATAGAAGTTAAGAGAAGAAAAGAATACAAAATAAAACTCTTTATAAATACTGTATCCTCCATGTAAGCACACAAACAGAGTGAAAGTGTGAGCAGAGAGTGTTTGTACGAGACGTCATCTACAGAGTTCAAATCCAATTTTAGTTTCAGAACATGTTTTTTAATATTTTCTTTACCTCCTGCTGACTTCTTACAAGATGAGCTCTTTTATTTCTGCCTCTTGCAGTTTTTTTTAAGCGCGGAGCTCACAGACAAACAGAAGGACGCGCTCACATGTGTGCTGCTGCCCTCTGCTGGTGACTCTGCGCTCTGTTTCAGAGTCTTTGTTTATCAGCAGCAGCCCTTCAAAATAAGAAGCTAAATCTTTAAATACATTCTTACAACTATGATACATTAAGGGATTAAGTTTAAAATAGTAACAGTCACGTTATTCATCTCCTCTGTGTTATCTTAAAAGCATTCTGCAGCACAGACATTTACATTTTCTCCAGACGAGGCTACATGTCGGTTTCTGTGTCAGCAGATGGACAATTAGGTAAAGGGGGCGGATGTGTGTTTTCATTTGCCCGGGGTCATGCACATGTGTATGTATTATGGTGGCTGTGTTACTGAGTGAGCGTCTATTTTTACTCACAAAGCGCCGCCTGAACATCTGTCCAGTGTGTGTGTGTGTGTGTGTGTGTGTGTGTGTGTGTGTGTGTGTGTGTGTGTGTGTGTGTGTGTGTAATTGAGGCCTGGATGACGTCCACATCAGAGGATTAAGATCAGTGTCTGCAGATTTTGACCCGGGAATAAAAAAAAAAGCATTGACTGAAGAATAAAAATGTAACACTACAAATAATTTTCCGCAAACTGGTTTGTGTCATTCAGGTATCGAGAAATCAAGAGACTTTGATTTTTATTCATCTTTGTCCTTAAATCAAAGAAATTCGCAAACCTTTTTGTTCGCCATCGAGAAACATTCTTTTACCATTCAACGTTGATTTGAAACGATCATGACGTTGTTTCTAACCTTCAGAGATTGACATTTCTCCCCTCAGTCTTCACACTGTGAGGGGGGAGAGGTGGGGGGACAAAAAGGATGTTGCATTGGCCGGGAATCGGCCCAGGGGGCCTCCCCTCCAGCGCGGGGGTGGCAGGCGAGAATTCTACCACTGAACCACCAATGCTTACATGCTGGTGCCCAGAGGACCATAAAGTTTTCATAGTGAGCAGAGTGGGCGACCCTCGTGTTTGTAGTGAAATGGAATGAAAATAAACGTTAACAGTTTAAATCTGTGTTGTGAAAAAAAAAAGTAAACAAACTGAATAAAGAAATCACTTTCATTATTTACAGAATCAAATGTTAAACAGAAAACTGAAAAGGTTTGTCTGTACACAGTGTTAATGTTTCCTCTCAGCTGTGATTTATTTTTTAAATGATTGTTTCTTGCGTCGTGCTCTGCAGCTTTCAGGACTGCTGACGTCAGCACTAAGGTTCTTTTGTAAGCGTGTAAGCAGTCAGTGGGAGGGAGGGGCTGAAGGGGGGGGGGGGGGACTTGTGCCCTACAAGGAGCGTCTCAGTCAGGATTTCTCTCCCGCTCTGTGTTCACACTGCACTGATGATGCTCTGGCACTTCAGGACTCAAACCTCATGGCTCCTTGAAGGCTGAAGCTTCACTTTGAACCCACGTGGCTCATACTAAACACGCTTTTCTTTTCTGCTCGGAACAGAAATTCGTTTTCCTCTTTGTCATAAAAGTGAAATAACAACAAACAGAAAGAAGGACACATCATCCTCAGTCCTGCATCTCTGGAAGAACTTTGAGAAGAAAGAGAGGCTCACCTTTCTCGCCCTTAATCTAAAGTGTATTTTAAGTCTTATTTGGAAAACTTATCCAACTTCAACATGATGATGTCTGCTGAGCTGATGTGTGACCGCTGATGATGTTTATATCAAACAGATTTCAGGTGCAGTGTGCCTGAAACGTTCTAGAAATGTTCAGGAGTGCGTATGTGAAGAAGGTTAGTGTGAAAAACATAAAGCTCTTACCTTAAACTGTGATCGACCATTAGATTAAAATGGTTCAGTGCAACAGAGTCTTTAGCTCTTTCTTGTGTTGAAAAAGTATGAACAGGTGTGGAGGTTTATTTCTCTCACTCTCTCTCTCTCTCTCTCTCTCTCTCTCTCTCTCACTCTCTTTCTTTATTCCCCTCTCGCCTAGACCGTCACCACGGTACGCCCATGCTGCTGGAGGGAGTTCGCTGCATCGGGGTGGAGCTGGAGTACGACTCTGAACAGAGCGACTGGCAGGGCTTCGATTAAAATCTCCTGTCCTCCTTCCACCCAAATACACACACACACATTTACACACACACACACATACACATACACACACATACACCTGCCATCATAGAACCACATCCCTTCAAATTTACACTCTGACCATTTCCCCAAATAAGAAAGTGTAAAGATAAAAAGACTTAGTGCCACGTATTGTACGACATTTCAAACAGTGAGTCAGTGTCCAGGTTTGGGATTCGGTCATTTTACTTCCTGAGAACGTTTACAAAACAAACAAAAAAAAATCCCTCATCATCAGCATCTGAATGGAGAGTTTGTTGTTGTTTTTGTTTATTGTCCTTCAATAACGCCCTCCAGCTCTTCTTTTTTTTCACCTTCTTTCTTAGCCTGTGCTTTCCTCACTCGACCTCTAGAGGGCAGCAGCGCTCTTTGAATCAGTGCAGCCTCAGATCCTTTTTAAAGTCTCTCAGCCCCCCCCCCCCCCATGTTAACTGTCCAAACTGTATCCAAAAAGGATGACTGAGTGGGAGAACACAAGGGCCCTTTTTTAATTCTTGAAATAGTTTGGAATTGAGCCTGAAGGATTCACAATTCAAGAGAAAGTTGTTAAATGTATTTGTAATGTCTTTGTTCAACCACAAGGGGGCTCTGCTGACCAGCGACAGTAACGCTCCTCCGGTCTAGAAGCTGTGTTTCTATGTGGGCTCATCCATCATTTTAAAGGAAGAGTCCATCTTTACTATTTCAACATGTGAAGCTTCATGCAGTTCATGAGTTTTCTTTCCTTTATTTAAAAACCTTTTTTTCTTTTTTACTTTCCTGATTACTTCTCCTAACTTCTCTTTTCTGAGTTTCCCAGAGAATCTCAGCGATCATGTGTGAATTTATTACATTAGGATTATAACGAGGAAACTAGACACTAATGGCTCAAAACATGCAAATAGATGATGTGATACATCGATCTCAAAGTGTGAATCACTCTTCGCTTTTAGCTTTGTAGATTAAAATCTTTATTTGTGTGTTGATGTGTTTTTCTTCATCGATATATCATAGCCTAACTTTTTTTTTTTTTTTTTCTCTGTTGATGCAACCAAACAGGATGTTAGAGGCTCTTTGAAGGTGTGACTGACATTTTTTTCAGATTATTGAATCACAATCTTGCTTCAAAGTGTTTGGGACGGGTTCGATCCGTCTTGGTTGGTTTTATTTTCTTTGTCTTTGTTCTGACTTCATGAAGCCTTCAGAACATAGAACTCAAGTGCCTTTCATTGAACCTGTACTGTTTGTCATTTCACTCGAGCCTGATGTGTTTTTTTTTTTTTCTACTGTAGCTCCTGTCACACACGCTGACCCGACACTGCGCTCTTTATTTTAATTCATGCTTTAAAAAAAAAAACATTGTGCCATGATGTGGCTCCTTCCTGTCATCACTCTGATTTCACATTTCAACACGTTCACTTTTTTTTTTTTTTTGTTTCTTTTGACATCCTGTTGGATCCATCAGCCTTAAAGGAGACGACTCTGTGTGTGACTTTCTCTCGGTGTAGTGCAGATTAAATCGATGTTTGCCTGCGTGTAATAAAGGTCAAAGAATGTTTGTTCCTTGTTAGTGTAAAACTGAAGCTTTCTGTAGGTGACAGATTCAGAGTGTAGCTGTTTATTTGTTGATATCTGCTCCCCGTGTGTGTGTGTGTGATTTGTTTGTTTTAATGTGAAAAGATGAATAAAAGTTTGTGTTTGACTTTGTGTGTCAGTTGACTTTTTGAACACTAGGTGGCACTGTACACCGCTGCTCCGATTGAACCCTGGTTACAAAATCTCTTTTCATGTGACCCAGTGGAGGTTATGAAAACATTTTCCTTGAAATAATGACATCAGAAATTGAACATGACACTGAAGATGAACTGACAGAGTACAACACCTCATAGATCCTCTCCGCTTACAGAGCAACAACTGATTCCCAAAAGTTTCTGGGAAACGCTTTATTTTGTTCCCAATCCCCCCCCCTCACCCTAAAAAAAATACCTCAGCTCCAGAGCTACTTTTATTAATATTCAACAAATAGTTTGAAAACTTTAGAAGACGTTTGTTTCACGTTTAAAGAAGCTGCTCCTCAGTCACCGCTCCTGAAAAAAGGTAAAAAGTTTTACTCCAGTTTCTTTATAAGTAGGCGAGAAATATCTGTCAAAAAAATAGAGAGCATAATAAGATATGTTTCCATTAATATCAGGGCCTCTGATCTTCTGTTTGTGTGCATGATCTTCCATCTTAATGTCTAGATTCCAGTCATGAGAATTAAATTAATAAAATCTTCTGATGATTTCACTCTGGGTTATTTTTCATGAGAGTTTCATCATCTTACTGATTTACTCAAAGTCTGGGAGGAAACTGCTTCTGAAATTGAGCATCGACTCAAAGCTTTTGATTTACTATAAACATGGAAGTATTAAACTCTCTCTATATACAGTAGTATATAAGCAGGGCAGTTTGATAGTGGAGACCTGTTGACTTGTGAAGCATTACAAATTATTTGTAGAGTAAAGTCAGCTGCAGCATTTATTAAAATCTGAAGATGTCAAATATAAACACTCCAAACAAACGGCACAAAAATAATGAGTGAGACGTGGCAACAAGTGTGAGTCTAAAACTTTACACACCAGAGTGACAAACAGAAGGAAGCTTTTTCTTCTCTCTCTCTGAAGAGGAGCTTCAGACTTTTTACTGTCACTGAAATACAGACACGCTGTGGTTTACCAGCTGCTGAGACTCCAGCCGTGAAACAGACGTCTCATTATGGAGCATGTAGACGTTAAAGAAGTGCGTTTTCACACTCAGCTTTAGTGTGCAGGTTCGTAAACACAAACAAAGGAATCTGACTCTCTGTGTACAAACACTACAGTAATGTCTACAAGCATGAGACGGTGGTGCAGAGGTGAGGAGTGTAAACATGAATGAATGAATAAAACCTTTATTGCCCCTTCAGGGGAATTTTCCTCCCACAGAGAGCATAAAAACACAACACACAAAAGACATCAACAACTTTACAGGACAGCACATAAAAACATGAAACAAAGTCATTAAATAAAATACTTAAAATGAATCTTTTTCTCATGGTTATATGTGAGGAGGTTAAAAGAAGCACGTTCAGTCATTTTATTATGTAACAGAAGGTTTATTATAAGAGGTATTCTTTTTTAGTATTTACACTGACGCAGAGTGCATTGATAATGAGGATAATAATATTTACTCGACAAAGTGTGTGTCCACAGAATGAGGATAAATTACAAACTTTAATTGCAGTTCAAATACAAATGAAAGTTCAGGTAAAATCAGGAAAGACGTGCGGATAAAAGTTCTTGTAAGGGTTTTTAAAAAAAATAACAGAGTCTTTACTTCCAGCTTCATTCAGGTCTGAGAATTCATCTTTTTCAAGTCGTGTAAAATGAAGATAATGAAAGAGGCCTCACAGTGTTTATCAACATGGAAGTATTCAGACTCTATACAGGTATACTTTATGTTTAGATGACATGTTCCTGACAAAATCAACAACACATCATATAGGCTATAATGAAAAAGGAAAGCAGCAGTAGGCCCTTATTTAAGAGTGTCCACATGAGGAGCTCCAGCCTTTATGTAGCCTAACAAATCTTTTGCATTCCAGATGGAAAGGACAAATTTGTTTCCCCTCAAACATGTTCAATAACGATTTCATTTGATTGAATACAAACAAAAATAAACACAACAGATCGTTGTCTGTCTGGAGGAGGTTTGGTTGAAAGCCATAAACATGGTGGAAGAAGATTCAGAGACATAAAGTTAGAAGAAGCATTAGCACACAAAGATCGTCTCCTGTGAAGATGTTCGAATCCTGAACCGAACCCGGAGTCCAGAAACCACCAAAACAGGTTAATGCTGCTCCATGAGAACATCAAATACTGAAATATCGAGAGACGTAAAGGTGTAGTTTCTTCTTCTTCTCTTTTTTTTGTCAAAGGCGGGAGGCTGCGGAGAGATATTTTGTTTACAAAAGAAGAAGAAATATTTATAATTTCGCTTTTTTACGCTGTTGTTCTATTTGTAGGCGACGTGTAAATATAATTGTATGTCTCTTACTGCGTTTTTACTTTTTTATAAAAGTGTTTGTTTCAAAGAAATGCTTCAAATTCGGGACTCGGGACGAAACATTTTGCAATGAGTTGATGGTGCTGCACAAAACGCTCATATAGATTATGAGGCTAATTATTGGTGTAGACCATTGACTGTGGTGTGCAGTGATAGTATACATTAACATGAGCTGGATTCAATTATCCAACAGTTTGTAATAAATATCGATCAATCTGATCTCTGCTGGAGGTTTAAAGAGACAAATAGGAAGTTCTTCATCAAGACTTTGTTTTAAAAATAATTTTTCAAACCAATATTTTTTCAAATCATCTTAATTTAGTCTCTTTAATGTTCAAAAACAAACGAAATATTTTGTTCCTTTAAAATAAAATAAACATATTAAGAAGCTATCTTTATAGACTACTATAGCCTACATTTTGTTTTCTTTCTTGTAATAAAAATATCTTTTGATTTAAATTAGTTAAATGTAATTATTTTACTTATTTTTTTTATTAAAGTGTGTTTCAAGTAAGCCTTTAAAACTAAACTGTTTAAAAAAAGTTCACACTCTTAAACGCTCCAAATTATTCTCAGATAAAGACTGGACGTTTTTAAATATTTTATTTTCAGCACTTAGAGATCCACTTTTAAAGATCGATGTTTGAAAATAAACCAACATTTGGCAGAAACTCTGCAAAAAATCTGAAGTTTTTCAGACATTGAATTTTGATTATGAGTATTTGTTTACTTGTCTCGTGTTTGTTTACTTTCTCCTTCAGAGAAAACATAAACGTCGTATAATTGTGCAACATGATTCCAGTCTCCTCATCTAAAGTGTGCAAAAAACACTAGAGTATAATCGTCTAAAATCAAATGTCTGACCCTGTAAGAAAGTAAAGAACAGGATTGGAAACTGTTTATTATTTGGATCTGCATCATAAAGGCCGAATTCTGTCTTCACCATCGTTTCTGTGATGTTCGTTTTCCGGTTTTTAATTCTGTGGAGAATCAACTCGAATGAATTTCTGCGTAAAAGTTGTGTCACTGAAGTCCTGCGAGAACTTTCTGCATTTTCAAAATATTCTCCTTCAAGCTTTTATTTTCTCAGACAGTCCACAGTGAACTGTAAACTTCCCCTCTATAGTATTAAAATACATTTTAAAAAACACATCCGTCTGCTTTCAGCTCATCAGCAGCAGCTACACATTTTTAATATTCGATAAAACCACATTTCCACGAATTAATTTCAATAATTAAAAATCCCTGCGGTGCTTTTTAATTTGACTTTTATTCAAATAGACACGTCATAAAATTATCAGAGGCTAAACTGTCTCTTAAAACGACTTTAGAAATCCTAAATAAATTATTTTACTGTGAAAAATCCAGTCGTTTATTTTTATTACAGACTCTTTATAAAGAGTCTGTTTTTCATTCCTGCACAGATTTGTGCGCAGCTCCTGCTGGATGTGTGAACTCTGAGTGGCCCGGTGCCCTCTCTCTGACCTCCAGGATTACTGTAATCCCTGTTGATTGATCTGATTGATCAGATTCATCTCCACGAGGCCGCAATCCAGCCGCACGCGGGGGTGGGGGTGGGGGGGGGTGTGTGTGTGGAGATGAGGCAGTCAGTGCATGGTGCAAACAAACATTTTCTCTCTCACTGTCTCTTTTGGCCTGTGGGCACGTGCATGCAGTGCAGGGAACACATCCAGGTTTTTCTGCACATCAGGATCATGTGCAACCGAAATCTGCTCTCATGGAGGGAAATCAGGATTTAGATATGTCAGAAATGTGATTCTAATGAAATGAGGTGTGAAAATGTGGAGGAATTACTTTAGATTTCATCATCAGAAAAACAAACAATGACACATTTTACAGACTGCTGACACCATCATGTTTGTAAAAAAACCCCAAATCTTTAGCTCCTTGAGGCAAAGAAATCTGATTTAAAAAAAAAAAAGGAAAACTTGCTCATTAGTCTGTCCTACTGAGAAATTAATTAGAAAAACTAACATGCCAGGAGTGGTTAATGAGAAGTGATGGATGTGCAAAATTGAATTAAGAACCCCTCACGTGAGATCAAAGTGGAGCCTCACTTTTACAGGGGTAGAAGAAGAAAAAGTAAGTAGTAGTAGAAGAAGAAGAAGAAGAAGAAGTGAGGCCATTAAAAAAGAAAACTTAAAAACAATCATGTCAAATTAAAGTCGTATTTTTAAGGCCATGTATAAAAATATTATCAGGAAATCAAGTCATGTCTTCACTTTTCTACACAACAACATTAATCAGCATTTTTTTATCTAGGCTATCTGCAATGCATCACTTTCCATACAACTAAAGTTTACATTATACTGAGAGATAGTCGTGTTATAAACATCCAAAGAGCTTCCATTTCTCTTTATATTCCTCATATCTTTCTATTCTTATCTCTTGTAATAAAAAAAAAAAATGGAGGTAAAAAAAAGATGGAGATAGTTGGAACAAGCTTTTAGGTAAAGGTATAAACAGGACATTTAGCTCCTCCATGTTGTGGAGTAGAAATATAAAGTAGCACAAAAGGAAAATATTTAAGGAAAGTAGCGCATGAGTACCTCCGAATGGTGCTTAAATATTTCAGTGAGTGTACATAACACCACTAGCTGTATACTGGTTTAACAATATTGCCTGTTTAGCACAAATGCAGGCTTCATGGTTGAGCTTTTTATCCTTATTTTCGGTTGTTTTAGGCTATACATTAGACAATATAAAAAGAGGCGTCAGTCCATGAAGAAGGCCTTACTGGATGACACATTTTGCAGCCAAAACACACAAAAAAAAAATAGCCAGAAATCTTCCTACAGATGTTAGAATAATCATAGATAATTTTTTTTTTTTTTTTTTACAACAGCTAAGAAATGAAAGGTGAATATTTTACAGAAGTTTTAAACGTGTCAAATGTAATCTTTTTAGAGGTTTTGGACGTGCATGAATAAAGACAGGGAGCCTGGAAAGACAAAAACACTGCAGAGAAGGAAGGAAACGTGTGTGTGTGTGTGTGTGTGTGTGTGTGTGTGTGTGTGTGTGTGTGTGTGTGTGTGTGTGTGTCTCAGCACAGCAGCAGCAATCAGTCCCCTCTTGTCTCTCTGCTGAGTGCAGCGTGTGATTGACAGTTTCTATTCTTCCTGGGTGAGATTAGAGACGCTGAAAGGAGTAACGAGCCGCGCCTCAGACCTATAATTACGGCCTCTGTAAGAAAATAAAGAAAAAAAAACACACACTGCTAAACTATAATTATATAATCCAGCTTTCTGCTTCTTTTTTTTTTCTTTTTTTCTCTCCACCCCACTGTTTTCAAAGATGTTTCACCTGTACACAAGAAAAGGAAATTCCAGTCATTGTTTCAGTCACTGCTTACACTGAAATTATCTCACAATCACAACAAACTACAAGCTGCAACATCAACACACAACTGCTGGAGAGGAGAAAAAAAAAAAAGATGGAGTCTGCGTACATGTAGAATATTTAGAGTGTATGAACACAATGAGAAACCTCCTTTTTTAGGCTGGTGTGGCTGCAGGGAGCTAAGAGCCGGGAGGGTCTGCAACGACCACAGATACAACACTCGGCCATACAGAGAGGGTGGACACATGAACAGGAACACCTGTTGAATGTTAAAACATCATACTCTCAATTCATATTGATCATTTTCAGCCATTTAATTAAAACAGTGGTTCTCAACTGGTCTAGCCTCAGGACCGTCAGGACCCACCACCAACTCCATGAAGAGAACCTGCAACAAAAATCTCTGATCTCCCCCCAACCAATCAGATTTATTAAAATGAAAATGTGTGCAGTTTGGAAATGCTTCATGGACTTTTTCATACAATTTTTTTTTTTTTTTTGCAGGTTCACATTTGCGACCCATGAAAGCCCACTTTCGGGTCCCGACCCACCTGTTAAGAACCACTCATTTAACATATTGTTGAACTTAAGTAAAGTGTAATGTGTTGCATGCAGACCTTACTCTTTAAACAATATGAAGACAACAGAGGGTCGCAAATACGGGGTGTTGAAGGCCGGCACATTATTTTCCAAATGGATCTGTCAGATAGTATTCTTTTTTTTTTTTTTAACTAAATTTACACTTTTTTACCCTAAAGACAGAAAATATTGTCTTTTTTAGTTTTTTTCATAATGTTAGAACCAAATCATGGGATCTTTTTACAGCTCATTATTTCAGGCATTTCATTTATAGACTTTTGGATTACACATGTAATACTGTGTGCTGGATTTCTATAATGTCTTTAAAAAACGGGGCTATTTATTTATTATGAGTTTTATCATTTAGGTTGAATGAGACATACATATAGTCTATCTAAAGGGAAATAAAAGCTTAAATCAAAAACTCTGATTGTTTTTATTTCATAGCTGTTTTTAGCACCCTGGAAAAAGTCAAAATTATTTATATATTTTTTTAAATGTTGTATTGTCCCCACAGAGATGTGAACTCTGGGCTGTGTGAGGCTTTTAAAAAACTGAAGACTCAAATTCAAAAGCAGGTGAACATTGCTGTAAAAACACTCATGTAACTAAAGACTTTCTGTTTACAGGTAGAAACCACAATGACTGACGTGTTCAGTGAAAAACACCTGCGATAAGAAACCTCAACATGCATTTTTAAGCATTTATTTTCTGTGTTTATGTCTCATGGGAAATATTGATCATTTCAGTCTAGTTTGATTTTAAACGCGATGAAGTTTTACCCAGTGTGAATGAAAGTGATTCTGCCTCTTTACACTCACATTGATTCCTGGTGCTTTTTATTAACAGTGCACAAACGTGCCCGGCCTCACAGTGTTCCGGTGCTCCGGTGCAGCAGCGGGGGGAGGGAGGGGAGGGGGGGGGAAGCCCGGGCAGCGTTTTTTAACCAAACATCGTGTCATATCTCCGCGCCCGATCCTCCGGGTCTGCGCTCTGCGTCGTTCACGGCTCTTGGTCAAACCAAACCGTGCCCCTGCTGGCCGACCAATCAGCGACGAGCCTGTTCGTGCACAGGAAGTGACGCGTGGGTGTTCCTGCCTTCTGCAAAGTGTACCGTGTCGCCAGAATGTATCATCCACACAGTAACATCTCTGCTGCGTCGGGAGCGGCGCAGGGTTGCAATCTGACGACCCGCGCAAACCGCGATGTAGCAGCTTCAAAATCAAACTGAAAGAATCGTTTGAATTTAATGGTGCGCCAAGCTGCATGTGTCCCCTTTTTACCTGACATTTCCCCTCCAAACCCCCCCCCCCAAAAAAAAATACGTGTTTTTGCCCGGCAGCAGAAGAGCAACGACACTCGTTTTTATGTGGCTGAAATTCAGTTGAAGGATCCGTGGGAGTCAGGCTGCACCTCTCCGGACAAAACCTGGAGACACTTCCCCTCCTTGTCTCCAACACACTGAACTGTAACCGGCGTATTTTCTTTTCGTCTCTCTCTCTCTCTCTCTGTGTGTGTGTGTGTGTGTGTGCGCACCGCCTCTTAGTTTATTTCTACGTGGGTGAGCAGTGTGTGTGTGTGTGTTTGTGGCACCTCCCCGCTCCTCCATAGATCTGGTTGCCCCCCTTGTACTAACCTAACACCATGCACTTCTTCTGCACCTCCTGGCTGCTGTAGTTCCTGAGATTGTGTTCCCCCTCTCCTTTTCCCAACGATCTGGACTTCAGACCCCCTCCTCGCGTCATGTCCCGACGCCTGAAGCCGGTTCCGCTGCAGGACCGTGTGCTTCTTTTTTAACTGGATCTACTTTTCTTTTCTTTTTTTTTTGGAGGGCATGCTCTGCCCGTCTCTTGAGAACACTTGCCAAGAGAAGAAAAGTAAGAAGAAGAGGAGGGTAGAAGAAGAAGAAGAAGCGGCAACAGCGACACACGAAGAAGAAGAGATAATCTTCAGAGAGAGTAAAACTTCCTTGTAGATGTTCGATCAAACCACGACTATGGGCGATGGGAGCCACCGCTGTGGACCCAACCCGCTGTGTCCGGACCGGATGGAGACAAAGTGCCGCGCCGAGATAGGGAGCAGGTCCCCGGTTCAGAGCTCCACCGACACCCCGGGGACGTCAGCGTCCACGCCGACGTCCTCCAGCGAGGACGGACACGACAAACTGTTGGGAGTGGACCCTGACTACTGCCGGAGGATACTAGTGAGAGGTGAGAGGACGCAAACTAAACCAAAAACTGCATTAAATCTGTGCGTAAAAGTAAATGATAACAATAAAAAAAAGTTTTCAACACAATTACAGCATGTCAAACATTATCTATCAATCCTGTGTTCATTTGTAGTGAGAGGTGAGAGGACGCAAACTAAACCAAAAACTGCATTAAATCTGTGCGTAAAAGTAAATAATAACAATAAAAAAAAGTTTTCAACACAATTACAGCATGTCAAACATTATCTATCAATCCTGTGTTCATTTGTACATTATTTCTAGTCACAGTGAGAAACATATCTTTATTTTGGTCCCAATAACAACCAAGAAGGAGAGAAACAAAAAGCTAAATGTTTCTCTAAAATACCCCAGAAACAAAACAAAACAAACTGTGTAGCCTATTATTCTATTCAACATGTGTAAATAACAGCAGGGTGAAGTAGGAACTCAAACAGTGACTTAAAGCTTTATAAATGCTGGCTCATTTAGCTTGATTATAAAGGCTACTTTAGTTATAAAACAAAGGGAAACTGTTCAGAATAATACGTTTAAATTCACACCTAGGGGGCTGTTGGGATGTTTTTATTTTTAAAAAAGAGCTAGGAGTAAAAAAAATACCACGTAGCCTAAAGCTCTCTATTGATAACCAATGTCAAAAACAGTGACTTAAAGCTTTATAAATGCTGGCTCATTTAGCTTGATTATAAAGGCTACTTTAGTTATAAAACAAAGGGAAACTGTTCAGAATAATACGTTTAAATTCACACCTAGGGGGCTGTTGGGATGTTTTTATTTTTAAAAAAGAGCTAGGAGTAAAAAAAATACCACGTAGCCTAAAGCTCTCTATTGATAACCAATGTCAATCTGTGTGTGTGTGTGTGTGTGTGTGTGTGTGTGTGTGTGTGTGTGTGTGTTAGGTGACTTGATTGCCTTTGTGTGCCAGCGTTATGTTCATGAACATGAGAATAATATTTAATTCAGAGTGTCCACGCCCTCCTGCTGGAGGCCATCAGCCTCTGAGTCACACTGACACTTTTTTAAACATCCCAAAAATGATGGTAACTTAAATGCAATAAAACGATTTGTTGCCTTTTTTTAATATATATATTTTTTTTAAATAATTATATATAATTTTACAGTGGAGTTTATGTCGAAGTGTCGTCGTACAATTTAAATTTAGCCTACATGTTTATAGTAAAAATAAATATAGTGTACAGTGAAGGTGTGCTACTGATCTAAATCTAAAAAGCTGCATCGATGTAGGTTAGTCTCTGTAAGGCTCTTTTAATTCAGGGAGATTGGGAAGTATAATAATTGCTGTTATATATTATAGAAAATAGAAGAAAATGTACCCTATTTAGTAAATAATATTGCGTAAAGGGATTTTTAAATTGCAGAAAAAAACAGTATTATAAATGAATCTACTGCTTTCCAGGAACAGAGCACGTAGCACGTTTTCTACCATTCAGAATCCCGTTTAAAAAAACACGTAAAAAAAAAAAAGTACAGCTTGTACTTGGGTGATTTCCCCCACAGTGTTTGTGAAACTGTTTTCTGTGGACTCAGTCAATATGTCGGCCTATAAACCCGCGTCTATACACGTAGAAATAAACTGTAGTGTTAGTATGGTTTGCCGGTTGCATAGTTTCTTTTTTTACACATGCAGCTTGTTTAGCTCCAAATAGAATTAAAATAAATGTAGTTACGAGCGATTTTAAACCGTAGAGCTGTGAGTAGTAGACTAAGTGTAACCAGAAGGCGAGAGGGAAGGGTGGCAAACGATAGAAGATACAGATTTGGCTGCAAGAAAAATGAAATAACCTTAGACACGTTTTACCTTCAGGCATCTTTCAGATTCACTAAACGCTGTCTTTTTTTTCACATGCATTTTTGTTCCCATGTGTGTAGCCTAGTATAACACGAAGGCATGTTAGTTGAGTTATTTTTAAAAGTATTTTCTCGACAGCTAAACTGAGTTTTGTATGATTTCATGTGAGCTGTGGCCGGCTGGTTGGTGTTCATATACTCTCTGTAAACCATCTGTACTCTGTCGTTGTTGTGTTGCTGGTTGTTGATATTGTCAATCAGAGGCGGATGTGGCCTGCAGAAGCACAGGAGGAGTGTGAGTTTATGTCTTTTTTTTTGTGAGGAGATACAGTGCACGTAGAAAACACGCCTTCAGTGTCAGGATTTGTTTTTGAAGCTTACGTCTGGATGCACGAGTATTTCTTTTCCGCGGAGAGGCCGGGGTCACCGAGAGGTCAGCAGGTCTACAGTGCAGCCGCAGCTTCCCCTCCTCTGCTGCACGTTGAGCTGATATAATGCAACAATAGAAGCTGTTTATGATTGCCACTGTGTGTCTGTGTATTATGAGGTGTTTGTAGCATCTCTGGTGCAGGATCTAGCCTGCCTGGTGACACATTACGCATATCATTACGCGTGCGTAAAGATGGAGACCTCTTGATTCATTACGTAGCGAATGCCAGAACACTTAAGAACAACTGTGTGTAGCAATGTAAGTGAAGTAGCTGTTTGATTCAGACCAGATGCAGATAGTTTGATATAAATCGTTGAACCACGTACACAATATAAATGCATCTGCTGTTGCCAAAAGATGGAACAAGGTTTTTCTTTTACGCACAGATTCTTCTTTTACCTTCTGTATGTGTTACCCATGTTTTCTGTTTCTATCGTCATCAGCCTCCCCCGTCACAAGGGGAGAAAATGCAATACCATGTGCTTTTTAAACAAACAAACAAGCTTACAAAAACGCCAACAAACAAATAATAATAAAATAAAAACATACAATCAAAGGTAATTTCGTTATATAGTTACTCCTGAAGAAACACTATGGATCTTGGATTCAATCAGTTTTGTGTCATATTTAATTCAGTGCTCTTCATATTTTATTGGATTGCATATTTTATGAACTCAAAACCCTGGACAAAGAGGAAGGCTTGTCTGGCCTGCGCTGCCATTCAATGTGATAAATACGAACAAATATTCTCGGTTACAGTGTAACAAAAACAAACACGAATATTAGGGGAGAAAATCTGTGTTTGATGAATGTTATAGGACGATGAAAACAAAAAATTAAAGTAACGAAGGTTTTATTTCGACAAAGCATACAAACCCTAAAGATTTGAAGATTGAGGGCGGGGTGAATTAACTGACTGACAGACATGTTCCATTCATAGTATTTACATTTAATATAATTTACCGTATGAAACATGTTCTTGTAAATTACGTTTGCATTTTGGTTTCATATTTTTTTCTAATTTTATTGACCACATTTCAAATCAAGGCCACCTGGTGTAAATATCGTGGCAGGAAAATAATGCTAAAGGCCATCAGATGAGTGTAAGAGCAGGTAACGTGTCCATAGGCATGAACTGACGACTCGTATAAAATAAGATACACTTACGAAATAAGGAAATTTAATTTAGAAATAAGCACAAAAGTCAAACGCGTTACAAAATGAAAAAAGAAAATCCTCTTTTCAGTGGTGGTGTGTTGAAATGTGCCAAACACACAGTGTCGTTGTTTTGGGTAGTCCAGCGCAATGACGCAAAGCGTTGTTACTTGGAATTGAAACAGTCGAGAGTGAGGCATTGATCACGTTGTCTGATGAACTGCACGTCAGGCAGGGAAATTAGGTGGTGCCATTTTTTTTTTTTTTTTTTTTTTTTGCGTCACTTCTCGTTGGAACAGAGTGAATAGTCCAACAGTTTATCAGGACAAAATGTGCACAGCTATGTTTGCATAAGTGAACAGAATCCATCAGTTTTGTCACCCACATTCATATTGAACCTTTCCAATAAAGTCTCCAAGCTGTCATGGCTTTCAATCAACGATTTTTTTATTTGAATAACAAGACCAGACTTTTTTTTTCCGGAGAAAGACAGAACTTATATATATATTTTTTTAACCACGCGAAACTGATGTGACGTAGGACTGTCTATAATCACGTTGGCTATCATGACGCAGGCAGTATGACTACAACTCGTATTCATTTTGTAGGCATTCAAAAGTGTTGAGTGTTTATTGCATGGCCCTGCGGAACATTTTTTACATTTCACTGCACATCTGTATGAGCATGTGACAAATACAAATCTTGAATCTTGAATCATTTGCTGTTTGGAAAAAAAAAAACGACAACCTGAAACTTAAACCAAATATATTTGTGTAGACTTCCTTACTAGTTTGAAAGACTTGGACGTTTTCATCACTTTGCCTTTAATGTTCGCAGAATTTTACAAAAATGTGCTTAATCTTTAATTAGTTTGCGATTATTATTATTGTTATTATTATTTTTACACACCTGTGTTCTATACAGCTAAGTTATAATGGCAATAATGTTTTCATAACATGCATGAAAGGCGTGATATAAACACTGCCCTGTGCTTGTTCACGTCAAAAACGCACTTTAGCTCTACTCTGTAATATAACATCAGTTTTCGTCAGCCTGTATTCACTGAAGCTTGAACAATGGTGTTTATCTTCTATTTATAGACCTAGACCTACTATAGGTGACTGTAAACACACACCTTAGTCCACTGTTATAGTCCCAGTGTTGTGTTTTCTCAGAAACAGTACCGAGACTTGGTGTGTTTTCTTTTATGACCAGACGCCAAAGGCACCATCCGGGAGATCGTCCTGCCAAAGGGCCTCGACTTGGACCGGCCAAAGCGCACGCGGACCTCCTTCACTGCCGAACAGCTGTATCGGCTCGAGCTCGAGTTCCAGCGGTGCCAGTATGTGGTGGGCCGCGAGCGTACAGAGCTCGCGAGGCAGCTGAACCTCTCCGAGACACAGGTAAGAGCCAAAGACTTTTATTTTTATTTTTTATTTTTTTATTCAAACAGCAGGTGTAAGGCTCCTCCTGCTCCCTCGGGGAAAAAATGGGGTATTAATTATTTTCTGCTTCATGTTAAATGTTTAACATCAAAATATAAATTCTCCCGCCATTTCTTCATCAACTTTTCATTAGAAGAGGAAGTGTTGTCTCAAAGCGAGAAAAGGCTAATGTTTGGATAAAAGAATAAAATAAATAAAGAATAAACGCTACCTAGCCAATGTAAGTTTAAAAATTATAAAAAGCAAACATAAAAATTATGAATATCTGAGTGGAATAATGGGCCAAAGCTAGCCTAGCCACTGGGGGCTAGATGAGCAGGTGTTTAGGTTTAGACTAAAAACTCAACATGTGTTTTCTGATTTATTTTTCTCTTAAGTAAATAGTTCCCTTTTTTTTAATATAGTTTTGTGCCCCTTCAAATTTGGTGTAAATCAAGTAGCCTAGTGAAATGCTAATGTTAGCATAGTAGGCCTACAGGAAGACATTTCAGAATAAAAGCACCAAAAGTAATTAACAAAACAGAGAAAAGAAAAAGTGTCTTCTTTGAAAAGCTTTGTTTTGTAAACTAAGCTAGTAGCCAAGCCATCAGTGGCTAGTTTAGGCCTGAGTTTAGCCTGTAGCACATATTTAACTTAAGAACAGACCTCTTATGTATTAGCCAATACTAATGGCCCATTGTAGTTGATTTACATAAACATTACCATAATAAGAAGAGGAATTAAGAAGTTTTCATGGCAAGTGTTTTAAGGCCTTTTAACAGGTTTTTTTCCCCCCTAGCCAATCAGAGAAGAGGAAGAGAAGAAGTGCCCTCCCAGCTTGAATAACAAAATCTATGATCACTATATTTCAATTGTCTTTCTTTCAAGTTTGTGCAAAAGGTGTGCAAAGAAATGCAAAAGTAAAGCTTTACATCCTGTTTTGTCCTTAAAAATCTGAAAGTGGGAGTAGCCCCGGATGCCTTTAGGAAATGAAAAACCTTATCCAAATGTTGGCATATGTTAAAGTTTAAAACACCAGTGTAATGGTGAACCATTGCATCGTGAACAAAGGTCGTAAATGGCCCACATGCTCTCACGTTTTTTCTAATGCCATCTCTTGTTTTGTTTCTACATGAATGTTGAATCGTCCTTTGATATCACCAACAATTTTTCATAAAAATGTATTTAGATTTTTGCAGTCCTCATTGTGTAATAGAAATATAATATAATAGAATAGAATAGAATTACTTTATTGATCCCAAACTGGAAATTGTGGCGTTACAGCAGCAGGTTATCCAAACACACAATATGAGTAAAAAACACAATATTAGCAAATTTAAACATAATATAATATTAAATACAAAGTAAATAAGCACTAAAAATATCAAAACTAAGAATGGAATATATACAACCAGGATTTAACTAAGCATTACTAGTCTTAAATAGGAAGATTAAATGTAAATGTGCAGAAACAGAGTTGTAAATGGACAGTATTGACATAGGGAGATGTTCAATCAGTCATACTATACGTTAAAGTGCAGGAGTGTAGACATAAGGAGCTGTTGTGTTGCTCTTCATAACTCTGCAGACATTTCATGGCGTCCTTTCATCGACCCCGCGCGCTTCATTCAAATATTCCTGCAGCAGCACGAGCCCAACCCCTACGTGTTTGATGATGGCGTCACGGCTGACGCATTGACGTAGAGAGATTACTGCGTATGGGACGGTTTAACACCCCCCCTTTTTTTGTTGTATCAATTTCTGAACTTTTATTTGATTTGTCTCATTAACAGTCTTGTTTTTGTTTTTTTTCATATTGCAGGACTTTTTAATTCGTTTTTTTATTTTAAATAATCACAGTAAAAACAATTTAAAGAAAATATACCCCACAAACAAGACATTTAATTTGGTAAACCTACATTACAAACAACATTACTTTTGCATCCTCTTATTTTCAGTCATGTTTGACATTTTTGTTTTAGTTATTATGTCGCTCACTAAATTTACACGAGTAGCCCCTCTAACTTTTTTTTTTTCTTGCTGCCAAAGTTTAAATGTTCAGATCAAAGTTTAGCAGGCCTTTGTGTGGTTAAAAAAAAGTCATGCAGCGCCTGCATATGTAGTCAGACACTGATTAACACTAATATTTTTAAAGTTGCTGTTTTGCTTGCTGTTCAGAAAATCCCTGAATTTGAATGGGCATATTTAAATTTCACAATAAAAGCCCTAAAATATACATTTACGAAGAAATACTATCAAATTAGTTATATTTAGTCTAAAAAAAAATCAGCCAATTTATCTATGTTGTACAATTAAACATCAGCTAAACCGTTCAGGGGCCTTCTGATGTTTCAAGGCTTCAATCACCTCTTGTTCAAAAACACTTGTTGCAGAAACTTTACGCGTCTCTGTGACGAAGACCATAACCACAAAAAAACCGTCCTCAAACGAGCTGTGTGTGTGTGTGTGTGCGTGTGTGTGTGCGGGGTGTGTCTGTGTGGGGTGGGGGCACAGAGCAGCCACTGTGTCCCTCATTAGTGCTGACACTCGGGGTGTTAATGGGAGGGCCTGTGCTTCCTGCTGCTGTGAGGAGACGCTGTGAGGGCAGCACACTATTGGCTGAGAGAAAACTGCCTGACCTTCAAAGTGAGAACAAAATGTAAATAGTCCCCTCAGTAATGGCTGTGAAATATTAAACCCAATGCTCTGAATTTCCCTTAATGCCGTGTGCTATTGAAGCAGCTTTTACGCGTGATCGAAAGGCTTTTAGTTTGCATTAGAGGACTATCTTTTCTTCCTCTTGTCTTCTTTTATTTGTGGCGTTTGCATGTTTTTTTTTTTTTTTGAAAGCGAATGCGTCATTCAAGGCTAATCGAGACGAATCACAAAAAAGACATGGAAGCTCTCAAAGTTTTAGTTGCTTTTAAAGTGAGTTGTTTGCGCAGTTTTCTCTCACTTTCAGGTGATTTCCAGTGTTTGTTGATGTTTTTTTTTTTTTTTTTTTTTAGTTCGTTTCTCAAGGCTTTTACAGGAAGCAGTCTGATGTTCATCTCCAAATTAAAGGTCACTTGATTTAAAAGCTGCTGCATTATTGCTAAGTGCGTTTACAGGCTTTTTATCTCTATTATTCCCTTTTTAAAAAGAGTATTCAGAGGAGACATGGGCTTTGAATCTATATATATATCTTGTATTTAATAGCATATTCCTGGAGGGCCTTTTTGTCCTGGCTGCTTTTTAAAATATCTGTTATGAGCTGAAAAACTTTTTCCTCATTAGAAATAACTTCGATAAGACTAGACTAGATAAGTTTAGATAAGAAGTCGAGTTTTGTATTTTTTTTTCAGCACCAAAGGCATGTAGACACATTTCTAATTCACTTCCATAAGATATAAAAATCCAAATATTAGTTGTACCCTGGTTCAGCCTAATATGTTCATTTCAGTGCGAACATAAAAACCTAAATGTTAGAGAAAAGTGGTCCCTTCTACTTTCCTTTTTGTGTTTTATTCTTGAGCAACTCAGACCTAATTAGGCTTTAGGCTAACATATAGCCTCTTATATTCTGCAGAGTAAACATATAATATGTCTGCACAATTTGAATGTTTTCCGTAAATCCCAAGCAAATGAGCGCCCCCTTTTTGTTTGAATAAACATTATCATTAAAGCTACATAGCATGCTTTTCAACGTGTCTAAATGAGACAGGCCTCTTTCTGAACACACATACTAATTACAGTAACATGGGAGGTGGTTGGATCGTTAAGTGTTTTTTAACAATGTTTGGGGATTTGGTCATTGACCCATGGACTAACTCCAATTAGTTTGGTCAGGTATTCAAACTGATCACGCAATGAGGCAGCACACTTTGGGGGACACACAAACACTCACAAACGCAGGGACCAACAAGTGGACGCAGAAAAGAAAGAAACTCAATTAGACCCTAAAAAAAAAAACCTGAAAAGAAAGTTCGTTTTTGTTTTTAAGAACAAATAAGACATGAAGCAGGATTATTATTTAATTGTTTTTATAATATTTTCCAAATGACGTCGCCAGGATTGGCAGACTATTTTAAAGTTATGGCTTCCAAACTTATTTCGGACAATTCTGAAGCAACTTTTTATTATATTTTTTGTCTATTTAAAAGGAGAACCAGTCGCTTGTTCAATGAAATAGGCCGTAACTCTGCGCACTATAGTCTATTTCTATTCCAAAAACGTCTTAGGCTACTTAATAATGACACTAAACCTATGGGACTTCATCGTTATGAAACAGAAAATAAAAGCCTATCGAAAACAAGAAAACACCAAATAACAGAATTAAAGCTCTTTTTTTTAAACTTTTTTTTGGTAAACAACTTTTTTATTTCGATCCACCTGCAGAAAAAATAAAACAAAACCTTTTTTGTGCCAATCCGCTTTTAGTCTGAAGGGAGGTGCGGAAATGCGGGTTTGGATGAATAATTCGACCTCATTGTAATGTTTGAGGACAAAAAGCCGCCACAAAGAAAGTTGTTGTGGCTCCCTGCGAGCTGCCTCTGTAACGCGGTACCGAGTAATCCGTTACTACCGGCCCGGAGCTCTCCCTCCGTCCCGGCAGGTGGCTCCCCGATACCGGCTTACACCGCAGGAGGGGGATGACACCAAAGAGCCCCTCCGGTGCTCTCCAGTCTTCAGATCAGTTTGTTCTTAATGGTGTTTTCACAGCTGATTTTAAGGTGTGGTTGATTTATTTTTTTGCCCCTTGAGGATAATTTAAGACTGAATTCTCATGTTTGTTCACATTCACTTTGAGCAGGAACTGAGGAAAGCTTCTTTATGTGGCTCAAAAAAGAGTGTACCCTGACATATTCTTGGGTTTGTCCTCCCTGTGTCTGAGCACTCTGTCAGTATACAACTTCAACAAGTTTTCATCTGTTTTATTTGAAGGTGTTGATCATTTAGATTATCCTGGATGTATTCAAGTTCTTAAACTGTGTCAATGG